TCCTCCCCTCTGCCCTGGGAGATAATTGGGAAGTAACTCAATTATCTCCCAAGACAAAGGCAAAACTCCATTACACACGTGGGAACACAAAACCAGCATAACACTTTAAAATGCACAAAGTAACATTTACTATATAAACCACAGACATGTAACATATCCCCAGATAGCTCAGGTCTGAGTGCACATTATTAAGTGAATGGCACTCAGCCTACACGAATACAGTTCAATCGCCATGGAGCCAAAGTCTTTACAGTCAGTTTCATACGAATGGGCTCCATGGGATTCCTATCTGGGGTATAAGAAATTCACACAAAAATACCGAACACCGGGTCATTCGTGTGCTTTCACCGAACAAGAAGGGAGGTCGGCGGCTTCAGCGGTGTTCGCGCAAAACTGTGTCCGATTTTAGTTCCATAAAAATAGAGGCGAACACCGCTGTTCATTCGTATGGTTTAAAATGGCCGCGACCTCGTGTTCGGGATACGAACGGCAGCCACCCAGCGTTCATCAATTAAGCTGCGGTTAACCGCAGCTTCAGGGAGGTTAATTGCCGGCACACTCCAGCTCCCAGGTGGTCCAGTCATTCGTACGGGTGTTCGGTAGATTGAAACTACCGAACAACCGGCAGAAAAGCACGAATATAGCTTTTCTGCATGCAAAAATAAAGTCTTTTAAAAGGGGGCCATAGTCCAAAGGCAGCAGGCGAGCAACCAGGCTTCTCCAATGCAATGTGGCGAGATTGGTCTCGTCACAGTCCCTTTAAGATTTTTTTATTCTCACTATGTTTAAAGTCTCATTCAGTGACCCTGTAATGTACTTTTTATTGCCACAGAATTAGTACTTACCCAACACTCTACAACAATATGGTTTTAAAGATATGTCTCTATCTCAACCAGTAAAGTCCTCCTTTTATTCCCACAATTTTTTATCCTATATACAGCTATATCATTATTTAAGCCCCCAAGGACCTTGACCATAGTAAAGATGGTTGCTATAAACCTTCTGCCCATCCTAGCATCAAGTATTTCCATTATTGTAACTTTGGCCGATTAAGCCTCTAACTAGTCAATCTCCATACATGCCGCCCATTCAACCTTATTGCGGCTCTAACTATGAGCCCACCCCTTACTATGTGCGCACCGCCCACTAGACAAGCGGTCACACGCCCACACCACTAATCAGCAACAAACTATACTTCCCAATTGGTAAAGTGCCGCAAACCGCATAAGAACTACAGCCCCCATAATTCCCCCTCTACCTCCAGTCGCGAGCAACATCGCTCGCTTTCTTCACACACTGCCACCTATGATTATTCTGGTCACGTGACTCACGGACCTAATAACTACATTTCCCAACATGCCATGTACCTGTATTACACGCGAGTCATGTGACTTGCATAATTCAAGCACTTCCAAGCCCTATACCTCATCTTAATTTTTTTTTAACTAAATAAGGCCCTGTATCATGTCATTATTAATGTAACCCTCTTTATTTTTATTTATATTATATGTGATGTATGATTCTTTTCCTGACTGGCTATTGACAAAATTAAGTTTTTTGGGGCCCAATTTTTAATTTATTGTGTACCTATATATACTCCTATCAGCCAGGTTAGCTTATCACATGTTGGTGAAACGCTTAATGGTTTTATTATTTGTCTATTTTATATAATTAAAAGGTTTTTTGGTTACTAATTGTGCCAACTATCTTTTTATGCACATTCTCTATTTTTTCCCCTGGCTTTTTATAAATTTTATCATGTTTATCCGAGGTGGGGATCATACCACCAACTCTGTTACCAAAGTGCAGTTGGCCTGCACTATACTTGCAAGTACATTTTCATTTTTATATTAATTCTATACCCTGTAAAAACAGAGAGCACTATCAGCCTTTCTTATATATCCCTTTTCTGAGAGTTGGACATCATTCCCTCCAGAAGGCAATCGTCCATATATCCCATAAGCGGTGATCATACCGCTGTACGCCCGTTATACCTGAGCTGGCTATAGCTCTTCCAAATGTGAGTTGTATATATCTTTCTTCCCACATATACTGACCCATATATTCTATACAATGGGTCTCTTATTTTATGTCTTCCATATTAGGAGAACAATCGGACTACTATAAACAGTGAGAACACCCCAACACCACAAGCACTTTAAGAGACTTTTATTGCCATAGTGCAATTTCTAATAATATTGGACTATTTTATATGCAAAAGCAATATCCTAATTATTAACTATTATTTTTCACTTTATATATATGTTTTTTATTTATATGCTTTTTATTATCTATAGTCCACATTGATATACTTTGGCGCAGCCTTGCACTACTGTTGTTTCCTAAAGAGATGGCATTTCCTAGATATGTAACAATATATCTTTAGTATCGCTTCATCTGACAGAGATACATATCTATGAAACAAAGTAGTCTTTATCTGACTCAAATTATTTCCTAATTCAGCTCAAAGTCTGTATAGGGACTAGTAGGGTATCTACAGTCTTAAATTTATCTGTTATCTGTGAGGCAGAGTGGTTCTTATCTTGCACAAATTTGTTTCTAGTTCAACTCTCGGTCAGTAGAGATTTACAGCTTGATTGTATTTGAGGTCTTATCTATAAAGTACTGATGACTCTGGCAAACCTATTCCGTTCTGGCAGAAAAAAAAGACAGCCGATTGACTTCAAATAGCAAACAATAAACTAAAGGAGTTCATACACCGTATCTGCGCTGTGTGTCACTTGCGAGATGATCAGACTGTAGCAGCCTAGGGGGACAAAAACATCGCACTCCCACGAAAGAGAAAACTGAAATGCCTGCAGACTTGGGTCTGCTGGATCCACGGCAGCAATCAGCAAGTGCAAGCATCAGAGGAGTAAATAAACTTGGTTTCACTTGCGGTATATTGACCAATTAACTCAAGTAACAGGTTTTACTGAGTTCTCAGCAGCAAGCATAAGCATCGAGTAGTTGGATAATCTCAGCTTCCTCGCGGTAACTCGTTCAGTTGGCACTCAGGTAAACTTTTTAGTTTGCTGGATTCACGGCATGAAATAGCAAGTGTAAAGCCTCGAGTGATTGAATAATCTCGGCTTCACTCGCAGTGAATTTCTCAGGTGCCAATATAGATTTACTGGATCCACAGCAACGTGCAGACAGTTTAAGTATAAATGGGTGAGTAGGTTCAGCTTCCTTCTCGGCGTAAACGTTCAGTCGGCCCTAGGATACCAGCGAGCAGCATTCAGTTGAGGTAGTTAGCGTTCCATGTAGTAAAGCCACAACGAAGGTCACAGCAAGAAAGCTTCTGAAGGAACTGGTATGTAGATACAGGGTACCTGAAGTGATTGAAAGTGACAGAGGTAGCCATTTCACTGGAGAAATAATGCAACAAATTAGGAAAGCCTTATGGATCATCCAGGCCTTCCACACCCCTTATCACCCCCAGAGTAATGGGAAAGTAGAACGGGCAAATGGCACCTTCAAGTATAAGATTGCAAAAGCCATGCAAGACACAGGGAAGCCCTGGATTGAATGCCTTCCCCTAGCACTCTTTTTTATGAAATTCACCCCCAATTCCAGACATAGCCTATCCCCTTTTGAAATCCTGTTTGGATGTGCCCCAAAGACAGACCTCTACTTTCCCCAGACCCTCCAGATGCCTATGTACAGGCCATGCACCAAAGACTAGACATGTGCAATTTGTTTTGGTCTGAATATTCAGTACTTCTGAATGTTCGAATAGCCGAAGTGCGGAGGTCCCTTAGTTCCGAAATTACAGAATTTTCAAAGTGATGAAGTTCCGAAGCACAGTATTGCCTAAGTACTAATTGTTACAAAATGCCTTTGTAACTGTCTCTTTAAGTGACAAATTGCCCTGCTTCCCTGTATTATGGAGAAGCCTTATTGCCAGCCTCCTTCCTCATGACTATGGCCCTGGTGTGTATGGCCCTTTAAGAACAGCCTGTGAGCATATTGGGGCTTGTGGACTTTTATGGGACTGGTGCTGGCCCTTTAAGCATGTTTTTGGGAAATAGGGAAAATTGGGACAATGCTCCTTTAAGACTTGTTTGGGACACTGCCCCTTTTTAGCCTGTTTCCCCAGTGTCCCCAGACTTGCTTAAAATACTCTATTCATGGCTTCTTTACACTTGGTTCAGTAAATGGGGCTTACTGAACCAAGTACCACACAGGCGGACCACTCAGAAGTGGAAGCGTGCAATCAATTTACCTCCCAGGTTGGGAGCCTGCTGTAGGTAAAATGCCGACCGCTGGGTGGCCGCAGTTCGTGCAAACCAACACGTGGCAGTGGCCATCTTTGTTCATTCGAACGAGGTCAGCGTAGCCAAATTCATGGAACTGAAATCGGCTACACATTTCAACGAACACCGCTGACCCTTACCTTCTCCTGCACTAAGTTTGGAGCCGCAGAGACTAAGTCCCGTTCAGCAGTTTGAACTCACTGTTATCCTGAGCCAAATGCACAAATTTTTCTGTCTGAAATAGACAGACCGCACAGCCTAAATCTATGGAACTGTTTTTGGCAGGAAAATGTGCTTGCGGTCGGTCATAAAGGACTTCTGTCATCCACTAGAGGGATTTGTATGATGTTTGGTTATGTTTATATTTAAAGTATGCTGATTCTGAATAAGTTTTTATGAAGATTGGACGTAATTTTTAAAGTTACAGTGTACAGCTGAAGTGGTAGAGGTTAACACAGTAAAGGAGTTTAAGCATGCGTGGGATAGGCATAAGGCTATCCTAACTATAAGACAAGGCCAGGGACTAATTAAAGTTTTTAGAAAATTGGGCAGACTAGATGGGCCGAATGGTTCTTATCTGCCGTCACATTCTATGTTTCTATGTTTCTATGTCTATGTTTCTATGTTTCTATTCTATGTTTCTATGTATAAAAAGTGTATTTTTCCTGCCTGTGATAATTACTTTAACCCATTGTGTTCAGTAATTATATAACAGGCAGAGGGGAGGATTTGTGTGTTATTGATGGGTGTGTTTTTACTGTATGTTACGTGTTTATTGGTTGTTCTGCAAAACCCTGTGGGCGGTCCTGTATAAAAGAACGCCCTTTGGTGCCAATTAAAGAGAACTCGCAGCCTCTACTCGTGATTGCAGGGGACAGCCATAATCACTACAGGGATTGCTATGCTCTTCATACTCCCTTAGCTACTGAGCTCTTGCAAGAGCTCTTGTTCCTGATCCTGCTTCGCTCTGCAGAAGGAAGAGGTTCACCACCTGGAACCTGGTCATAGGTCCAGAGTGGATAGCAGAAGGCGAGATACCAGCCCAGCAGCGGTGATTCGTGGAATTTGCAGTGTTTATGGTGTCTGCGGTGCTGATGGTCCTTTGGTGAGCGCTAGGAGGATCATTTCTACGTTCCAACTTTCAGCGAGCCTGGAGGCAACCGTAACACTAATATACTTACCCAGTGGAAGAAGAAGAATGTTACACAGTATACACGTTTAAATAAAAAGTATACAAACATAGCCAGGATTCAGCTGTAAGCATTTGCAACACTTACAACAATCAAGTAACATACATTCATATAAAATGTAAGTTACTTAGCCAGTCAATGTAATGACAGGAATGAATAAGTAGATAACTTCCTAATTCCACATGTATTAGAGAGCTATCTACTAAATGGCTGAAAGATCTGAATTGGTCTTTCAGCCAAATTTACTAATACTAAGTAAAGATTACTTAGTGTAGCGGAGCTGCAATTTTAAATTCCACGATCTCCGCTGGTACAGAAGGTAATCCAAAGTAAAGCGCTGAAAAGTAAGGCAATATCCCAAATCCCCCAGTAACCGGACGAAACACAGTTCTGGGAGTCAACTGAGCTTTTATTCACAAGATACAGTATTTATGTAAGTCCCCATGCAAGGGGTTTCCCTACTGACATTGCAGGGGTTATACAGTAGGGGACTACATGGGAGACTTAACAATCTGGACATTTCTCCCATCAAGCACTGCTGGACGAGAGGGATACTCCCACTGGAATATACCGTTAAGTGGAGTATCCCTCCGTGCAGCAGAACCAACATTTTACATTAAAATAGATAACTTTTCCATCATTCACGTTATTTAAACGAATGGACGTTCGGTAGATAGCTGGGGTCTGAGCGCACCTTTCGTGAGAATACCGCTCAGATCCCAGCATAAATAACCGAACGCCGTACGGAATACACTTTAACATTATGTTCGCCTGAAAGTACTGAACACTGATGGGAAACCATTATAGTGAAAGACTGGAGCTCCCGAATGGCCTGGAAGCCCAGCGGTGTTTGCGCCGTCGAGTAGCCGATTTCAGTTCCACGCGCTCGATGACCAAACACCGCTGGGGGAACAAAGGATCCAAGATGGTCGCCCGTCACGTGGTCGGTAGCCAAACGACGGACACCTAGGAACGCAATTAACTACCGATTGCAACAATGTTGCAATCGGTTAATGGGTGACACACAACCCTTTGTGTGTGGGCTTCTGGGTGGTATCTCATAGGTTTCACAAACAGCAGGTAAAGTCCCTGTTCGTGAAACGAACACATGAATGCTAGCGGCTTTTCGGCTGCTAGCATACGAATGCTTTAGGATATAGCAGATACAGCCATGTAACCTTAGTATTAGTAAATGTGCCCCTACTCGCTATGCAGCGAGTATGGGCATGTCTATTAAACAGTGAGCAGCCTATGTTAGGTAGGGGTTTGGGGACCCCTGGTCACCTGGGGGAGGGAGGGGTTATTTTTTTATTTATGGCCCCCATCCGCCGCTCAGGGGTGGGGGCCAGGGGGGGGACATTAGGTCCCCCTCCTCATTCTAATTTAGGGCCCCCACCCACCGCTCAGGGGAGAGGACATTAGGCCCCCCCCATTAGTATTTAGGGCACCCACCCACCACTCAGTGGCGGGGGCCAGGGGAGAGGACATTAGATCCCCCCATTCTAATTTAGGGCCCCCTTCCACCGCTCAGGGGGTGGGGGCCAAGAGGGAGGACATTAGGCCCCCCTCATTCTAATTTAGGGCCCCCACTCACCACTCAGGGGTGTGGTCAGGGGGGTGACATTAGGTCCCGCCCTTATTCTAATTTAGGGCCCCCACCCACTGCTCAGGGGTGGGGGCTAGGGGGAGGACAATAGGTCCACCCCCATTATTTTACTTTAGGGCCCCACCCACCGCTCAAGGGTGGGGGCCGGGGGGAGGACAATAGGTCCACCCCCATTATTTTACTTTAGGGCCCCCATCCACCACTCAGGGGGCACATTAGGTCCCCCCCCCTTATTGTAATTTAGGGCCCCCACCCGCCGCTCAAGGGTGGGGGGCGGGGAGGCAATAGGCCCCCCCTTTACTTTAAAAGCCCCCACTCGCACATCGCGGGTGGGGGCTCGGGAGTGGGGACCATTTTTAAAAAAAGGGGGGCCTGCTCACTGTTTACTAAACATGCCCCTACTCGCAGTATAGCGAGTAGGGGCATAATTTACTAATACTAAGTAATCTTTACTTAGTATTAGTAAATTTGGCCGTGGGAATTAGGGAGTTATCTACCAAGCGGCTGCAAGAGAAGTTCCGAAATTCCGGAGTGTCAAAGTTGCAGAAGTGCCGAATTTCAGAATGCCGAACCGAACCGAAATTTTTTCCCATGCACATCTTTACCAAAGACTAGATAGGGAGCATAAACAAATCTTTGATTCCATTCCAGATCCAGACTCATATACTGCAGCCTGGGGATTGGGTGGTGATAGAAGAGGCATATGAGGAAAGGACTTGAACCACACTTTGACGGTCCATTCCAAGTGCTACTGACTACGGCTACCTCAGTGAAACTAGAAGGAAAAGTCACGTGGATACACAACACTATAAACAAGTCACTCCGACTGATACACCGACATAAAGCTGTTCTTATTCTTTACCATTATATGCTCTGATCAGATATGCTACTCTGTCTTGAGACCAGAAGATAATAATGCATGGCAGGGAAATATTTGGTTGCAGATAGCAAAGGCTTTTAATTTAACCTCCTTTTGCCTCAAACCTCTCCTCAGTACTGAAAACGCCATACAATCTTGTCTTATAGCTGTCCCTACCCCCATCTCACTCTTGAGGAAGTATCTACATACCCATAAATCTCTACAACTATATTATTATGCTTTCAGCACCCCCTAGCCCTGAAGACAGTTAATGTGACAGCCGCTAACTATGTTGGTCTTTTTCATGTAATTGTTCAAGAGACCCTAATACTAAATCCCTGTTTTTCCTCACATGGTGGAAAAAATACCCTGAGCACCACAATGAAATGTATCAAAACTCACCAAGTTATGAGTTACCACCACCATGCCCATCTCCCTAAAGGATGGACTTTCTCCTGTGGAAATATTACTTAGGTGTGAGATTGCACATGGACCTCCTGTAATGTTACCTGGGACATAAGCATAACCATAACCATGTTTTCCCAATCTGACCTGATCCCTGGAACCACCCAGTTACACAAACAGCAGAGAGAAAGGAGAGATGTTAAAAACACCCTTACTTCAGTCTGCAACCCTGAAATCACTCTCTTATCTAAATCCAAATACTCCGCCCTTATGTACTCTATGGTACGAGTCCCAGGCTTAGCACTGTAGAATACCCGAGTAATTAATGCTGTAGCCTGTTCCCTTGCAAAGGGTTTAAATGTCACTTCCCAGGCCCAAGAGCTAATTGTGGACACCCAGGCAAATAAGAAGGCAATCCTTGAGAATAGAGCAGCCATTGACTACTTGACTACTTACTTATTTAAACATGACTTAGGCTGTGAAGCTATTGAAGGTATGTGCTGTTTTAACCTATATGAACATGGCACTAGGATCCATAAACCTATAAAAGATTTACATGACTTAGTACAGGATATCAAACAGAATACTGGCTTCTTTGGGGATTGGGAATGGACATTTGAGCTACGAATATGGTTGACTTTACTAATTAAGAAAATTACTTTTTGCTATTAGCTGTATTTGTTATTATAAACCAAAGAAAAATAGTTACCTGTGCTCTCTCCTTAATCCCTATGTATATTTAAACAAATTTAGTTACTCAGGTCCTACTCTGACCCTTCACCTTGCTTCCTTGAGCTTCTGGCAAAAATATCTCTAATAAGACAGAAATAGGTATTTTTTTATATACACCCCTATATACTTGTTAACCCTTAATAGGGAACACATGGGATGGGCGGCAGCATTGTAACCTAGCTGTGTGATACAAAAAGTGAATACAAATACAAAAAGAAAAGTCCTGTGCTCTGGGTGTGTCCCAAGTGGTCAGGATCTTCTTTGTCGATTGGGTGTGTTTGGTCCTGGGCGGTTTATGGTTGGGTGATGTAGTATTGTGTATAAGGTTTTGGGGGTGTTGGTTATGTGGGTTTATGGATTTGTGGTATGTTCAGCATGTTTTGGGTGTAGGGTGGTTGGTGGGCATGGGGTGGGGGGCAAGGGGCGGTGTTTGGGTGTTCCTTTTGGGGTGGTCGGTCGCCTCCAGTCCCCCCCCCTACATCCCTAGCATATCTCTGATGATCCAGGGGTTCCAGATTTTATAAAAGTGTTTGGTTGTGTCATGTAAGAGGGCTGAAAGTTTGTCCATTTCCATAGCTTTTGTTTTCTGGAGCATCGTGGTCAGGGAAGGGGTCTTGGGGTTTCCCCATTGTTCCGCGATTGTGCGTCTGGTGGCCAGGGCTAGTTTAGCCAACAGTTTGTTTTGTGCTCGTGTTAGGGGACGGTGGGGTTTAGAAAGCAGCCAGATCCATGGTTCTTTGGGTATGTCCTTGTGTAGGATTCTGGATGTGAGGTTAGTAACCTCAGTCGTGGGGAGTGTTGCGGGCAGTCCCACCACATGTGAATGTATGTGCCCTGTTGTCTGCATCCCTTCCAGCAGGAGTCTGTTGGTGTCCGTCCCATTTGTTTTAGTTTCAGTGGTGTCAGGTACCATTGTAGCATTGTTTTGTATGCTTGTTCCTTATGATTGACACATATTGCGAGTGATGCTGTGGCTTCCCATGTGCTCGCACAGTCCAAAGGGTCGTGTAACGAAGCTCCCTGTACTCCGACCGAATACCCTCCGTTGATGGACGCTTCCTAGCTTGCGTCGAGGACCACAAGCACCGCACCGGACACCACAACCACTGCAGACTCCACAACTGCTGTAGCTTGACTGGAGTTTCGCCGTCTTCCTTCCACCCTGGATCAGCTTCTGTCCTCCAGGACCGTGTGGGAAAGACCTCTTTCTTCCACCCTGTATAAACCTCCAGCATCCAGGACTGTGTGGGGAAGACTTCTCCTCCAAGTA